CGATACCTACCTGAGAGAATTGTGAGAATAAAATAAAGGAGTGACTGTAAAGTACCCAGTGCAGGGCCTGGCATGTGGCAGTATATAGTAAGTGCCACCATCATTAGCTGGGGCATGTTCCTCTCACCGCCCTGGCAGGACCAGTGTGCTTCTGCTATCCTTTATCTCTGCCACTCTCCTATCTGCTGCCTGTTACGTCTCAGCTCCTGAGCCCTGCCTGACCAGTTTTCCAGAGTTGGGAGGTGGAGGTGGCCTTACCGGTAATAGGAAGTCGGCCGGGGTGGGGCATCGGGGGTGTCCTGCTCCAACTCCCGGTATACCACCTCTGGCAGCTTGGGAGTGGTGCTCACAGAAGCATTATGGTGGTGGTGATGGTTGGAGTCCTTGCGCTTTTCCTTGTTCTTATGTTTGCCTGACTTGGGAGTAGCAGCTGGTGTCTCGGTGTTCTCCTTGTTGCTACCAGTCTCAGGAGCCTCCTCAGGGGCCTCCTCATCCTCTGACACCACATCCAGGTTGTCAAAGATGCTGATGCGGTGGACTCGGCCGTGCAGGTCCACCTCCACCATGCGCTGGGCCTGCGCGTAGCTCATCACCTCACGGCCGGGTGACTGGGATACCTCTGAGGGGCTGGGCGACTGCTTGTTGGCTGGGCGTGATTGGCGCCCCTTCTTTTTGTGCTTGCGGAGTGGAGTCTGCTGCGGGGGTGGTGGGTTGTCGTGGTCATAGTGATATAGGTGGTACTCAATACCACTGTAACTCTTGTAGACCTTACGGCAGGTCTCCACGGGGCACTCATATGGTGGCTTAGTTGCCCGCAAGTTGTGGCAGAAAGTCTTCACATCAAAGTCCACCCCCATGCTGTCACATCTAGAATGTACAGATCAGTTAGCACAGGCCTGGGGAAGAGTTCCTGGTCATCCACTACTCTCTCCAGCCCTCCCCTTCTCCCCAAAGGTCCTGGCCAGCCCACCTTTACAGTGACTCCAAATGCCATCACCTCCATACCATGGGCAGTCTGGGCCTCATCGCCTCCTGCCTGGTCATCCTGCCCCATATCTCAACTATTCTAGCTTAACTTCATATAATGTGGCCAGAGTGATCTTTTACCAAGTAGCAACAGACATGTAATCTTTTGATTAAAAGCTTCCTGATGCTCCCCACTTATTTCAGGATAATATCCAAATTTCCTATGATGATATTCAAGGTACCCCTTTCATTGGCCCTAGTCCTCCTTTCCAGACTCTTCTTTTCACTAGTTACAGCTGTGCTTCTGTCTACCCTGGGCAATTTGCCATTCCCTGAATGTTATAACCTCTCATTCCTGCAAGATTTGAAATGGTTTCCATCCTGATTGGTGAGCTCCTACTCATTCTTCAAAACCCAACTCAAATGTCACTTCTTCTGTTATGATTTGTCTTTCCCATGGAGGGCTGTGTTTCCATAGCATTCCATTGTCATCTCCACCAAGGCACTTACCACACTGGAAGTTCTTTGTCTCCTCCCACTAGACCAGGTGCTATACAGTGCAGACATCAGAGAGCCTACCCACCTTTATACATTCCCAGGACCTGGCATGTAGTGGACACTCAGTTTTTGGCAAATGAATAAAGAACTTGTTTAATGAATACTGAATGAGGGGATCATCAGATCATCTGACAGATGAAGGCTAGTGTTAACCCATGTAGAAGTTTGAATGGATAGCCAATGATTTAATCCTGGTCACCAGCAGAAATCATTGCATTACAGAAAGCAGCAGTTCATTTCTGAGGTGTTTAGGGGAAGCCTATGCCCTGGCCCTGGCTCTGGGAGTGATAACCAGGTACTTAAGAGTACAAACAAGAGCATGACAATCTAGGCACATTCAGTTCCATGCTGGTCCTTAGGGCCTTCCCTTCCTCCTCTCCAATGTTCCTGGGTGAGTAGTGACAGCAGATGGCACCAGCCCCCAGGAAGCCCAACGTGGTCAGAGACTGCCCCAATTTCTCCAGGCCTAGCTGACTTCAACAATTCAGCTAGGGTGTTGGCATCATTCCAGGCAAAGCCACCCTGAGCTCCTAGACAAACGGTGACATCTCTTGGCTTCTCTCCTGTGACTTAGCCAAGCCAAGTGGGCTGCTCCAGCCTCTCTGTCAGTGCCCCTGACTTCTACATCGGTAAAACTACTCCCTCTACTCCAACTCACTTTTACTTCCTACCTGCAGCTGTGTCTTTAAACACAAACCAATCAGAGGAACAGGCAAGCTCTTCTCTTTCAATGATGGGTCGGTCCCTGGTGTATCCTGCATCTCTGTCGCCCTGGCTCCCAAAGTAGCACAGAGCCCCCGGCAGATGTCCCACTGGGACTGGGCGGCAGGGCACACGGGGTGGAGACAAGAACTCAGACTGGAAGCCCGTGAGGAAGACCCAGAGCCCACAGGGGTATGGCGGCAGAGTTCAGGGGGCTGGAGGAAGTAGGGGGCGGGGGCCGGAGGGATCAGGCCGGGCCCAGGCGGTGCCCGCAGCCCTCTCCCGGATGCGGCGACGTTTCCCTTTTGTCGAAGTGTAACATGTAAAACAAGGCTCCCCTCCTGCCATTGGCCCAGGGAGCCCTGGAGGATACTCTGTTGCCCTGGGACGCAGGCTGGGAGCTAATGCACTGTCAGTTCTCCCGGCTCGAGTGGCCCAAGAGGCCCTCGGACCGGGCAGCTCAGTGCACGCCCCACGAAAGTAGTCTAGCCTTTCCCCGCTGGCCACTCCCGCCCTGGTCCCAGGCCCGCACTCACCGGCCACCTCGAGTCCGGGCTCATTGCCGGGGGCGCCCGCCGGGGCTCCGACCCCAGTTGGGGAGGCCGGCGGGGAAAGACGGGCCGGGGAGAGAGAGCCCCAACTCCGGAGACCGCAGACCTCGCCACCCCGGCACCCTGCCGCCCCACGCTCTGGCCCCGGCTCCCCGGGATTCCCGCGCTGACCCCTGCCGCTCCCGGTCCCGCCGGCGCCCTGGTGTCTCAACTCCGTCGGCCGCCGCCGGTTTCGAGAGCCTCTAGGTTGTCCGGCCTCGGGACCCGGCACGGCCGGAACAATGGAAGACCCCGGAGGCAGCGCGGGGACGGCGGCGGCGGAGACCGTGGCGGCAAAGACAGTGGCAGCGGCGGCGGCAGCAGCGGCGGCGACGGCGTCTGCGCAGGGTAAACGCGGCGCCTCGGCGCTGTCGATCTGCACTTTCGCCACAGATCCCCGCCCGCCTGCTGAGTCTTGAGAGGCCTTTCTCTGAGGCTCGGAAGGGCCCGTAGTCACCCACATGACTTCTGTAGCACCTCCACCTTAGAGTTGAGTTCCTGTAAGCTGAAGTCGCGGTATTCCAGATCCGGAGTGGTCGGGCCGTTTGTGGCGAATCTGCGGACACGGACGATGAGCGCGGGGCTGGGCTTGAGGAGCCCGCCCTTCTCCCTTCCCCCTCTGCCTCCTCCCTCCCTCCTGCTGGCGCCGCGGCTGCAGTGGGGACCTGGCCTTGGTCTCCGAGAAAGGCGGCGAGGCGGGGCCGGAGCCACGGGGCGGGGCTGGGGGCAGGGCCGGGAGCAAGAAGGACGCTGGCTGGAGCCTAAGGAAGGACTCGGAGTTATGGGTAGAGGTGGGGCGGGTCTGGAAGAGAATAAACCAGTCCAAGGGGCGGAGTTTGCGGGGAGTGGGCGGGGACATCTGTAAAGCGGGCCTCAGTAAGGAGAATAGGGGCTGAACAACGGTGAAAGGGTGGGGCTAAACAGAAGAGTGGGCCTCAGGAAAGAAAGGGCGGGGCTTTATATGGACCTGGAAGGTGTTGGGTTGGGGAGAAAGGACAGAACTGGGAAAAAACGACGCGAGACTGAAGCAAAAGGGCGGGGCTTGGAAAAGGTAAAGGGGGCGGGGCTAGAGGGAAGGGGCGGGGCCAGGTTAGGGTTACCGGGCGTGGCCAAAGGAAAGGGAAGGAGCTTGGGAAAGGCAAAGGAGCAGGACTGAAGGGAAAGTGTGGGTATGAAGGCAGGGGCCGAATCTGGGGAGGTGTAGAAGGCTGGTGGAATGTGAAAGGGCTTGTGTATGGTAAACTGGGAACCCCTTAGGGTTGGCGGAAAATGCATCATGGCTATGGGTGGGGGGTTGGAAGATTGTCAAAACATACAGCTGGTTTTAATGTGACTGGGCCACTTAGTAGCCATATGAACTTAGACATGTTGTTAAGTTCTTCCTACTTTAAATTCCTTATTTATAAAAGGGAGATTGAAAACTATTGTCAGTTCTTGGAGACTTTGGGGAACTTGGGCGCTGGGAGGAGTCCACTTGTTAAGCAGTACTTGCTCTTCAGTTTTGCCATCCAAAGAACAACATCGAAAGGGTCTTCCAGGGTTTGGGGACAAAGCCCAAAGCAAATGGAAGCTTCTGTTTTATCTTAATGCAAACCTTGCATTCAACTCACTATAATGTATGTGTTTTTCATGTACAATGTTTTTTGAAAAATATCCTAATACAATTGACACTGCAGGAAGATGTTTGCTGGTGAAGATCTTGGGATCTGGAGTCGAACTGATGAGTTCTCTTCAATAAGTGAACCTCTCTGAGTCTCCATTTCCTGATGTGTAAAATGGAGATAAAGTATAGTGCTTACCTCACAGGATTGTTGTGAGGATTCAATAAGAATATGCTTGTAAATCACCTAGATATGTAGTGAATTCTCAAAATATTAGCTGTTTTTATTATCCTTATTAAAAGATTCAGAATAAATTGATCAAAGCAGAGTTAGAGTCATTGTAAAGCTGACCCTTTTTGAGGTCAGGAACCCCACTGAAAACCTGACAAAAGCTATGGGCCTCTCCTCAAAAAAACATGCACACATACAAAGTTTCACTCATTTTTAAAAATGTGTTATTTTTGAGAGAGAGAGAGTGAGAGCAGGTGAGGGATGAACTGAAGCTATTTTTGCTCACTTCTTTTGGTGTGGCCCCAGGACCTGGGTCCCCTAGTCTCCTTCCCCAAGAACCATGAGACAAAGGTGGAGTAAAGATCAGCTTTATTATTGGCATGAAGGCAGGGAGGTGGTGATAGTGCCAGGCCCTTCTGTGGGTGAGGGGGCAGAGGGCTCAACCAGCCAGCACTGATCCCCCAAGCTAGACTCACTGAGGTCCAGGGCTCCAAGTGCCTCTGGCTTTCAGCAAAAGCAGTGGGTGGGCAGGCAGGCAGACTGCTAGTTATTGAATAAGTGGGCTCCTCAGGGCTGTTCTGGAGCTGGGGTTGGGCTGGAGTTGGCAGGAGGTGGAGGGCGAGGCTGGATATCCCTGGTGCGCATATAGGACAGCAGCTGCTCTGGGATTTCGGCCAGCACGTCCTTGGCTAGTCGGGCCATACTCAGCACCTGGTTTCCGGACCGGTCAACATAGTCTCGGAAGGGGACGAACTGGGACAGGCACAGACAGTCAGATGTGGGTAATGGCCAGGGAAGAGAGGAGTGGGAAGGGAAGCAGTAAGGGGGTTTCCTCCTTGACCCCTAACATCTCTTTCCAAATATCACATTAGCTCTTTCCCTCTATCTTGGACAGCTTTCCACATTTACTTTCTCCCCACCTCCTTTTTTTCTCACCTTCTATTTACCATCAGCCTGATCCAGTTTAGCTTCATGCAGTACTGACTCTGCTTTTGCTAATGTAATAGTCCCTCTGTTCCCAAATCAGTCCAGTGGGCAATAATTGTCAGTCCTCATCTTGCTTGACTTCTCTTTAGCTTTTCATTACATTTGACCATAATCTTCCAAAACACATTCCACTCTTGGCATACCACACTCTTCTGGATTTTCTTGTTCATTTCTGGATGCTCCTTTCCCCAACCCCATTCCTCTAGGTCTACCTGATCTCTAAACCTGGTCACGTCTCTCAGTTCTCTTCCAGGGTGATCTCATACACTTCCATGACTTTCAAAACTGTTCTCTGACTCCCAAATTTATACATCCATCCCTGGCCTCTTTGTTAAGGTCCAGAGCCATGTATTTAATTGCCCATATTATTATATACATTCACTTGTCTTAGATACCTCAAACCCTAAGTGTTCACAACTGAATTCTGGCCCTTTCTGCCAAATCTTTTCCTCCTCCAAGTTTCCCCTTCCCAATCAATGAGACTATCACTGACTTAGTTGCTCAAGCTAGAAAACAGAGTCATCCTTGAAGCCCTCCTCATTCCCCATCACCATTTAATCAAAGCATAAACTCTTGTAAAATTTTCTTAATCTTTTGAGCCTGCTTCTTTCCATCCTCACTGCTTCCATTCCTGTCCAGATCCCTATCCTCCCCTCTACTACTTCAGAGACTTCCTTACTAACAGTACCCGCTGCAGTCAACCCTCCATGCAACAGAGATCCCCTTAATGCAAGTCTGACCATCTCAGTCCCCTATGTCAAATCCTCCAAGAACTTTCCAATTTTTTAGAACAAAACTCCAAATCATCACCATGACCGGCAAGGCCTTGGGTCCCTCTTCTTCACACTTACTGGGATCCTGCCACCCTGGCCTCCTGTGTTTTCCATGTTTGGGCTAATTCTGCTGAGCCTCAGGGCCTCTGCATGTGCTGCTCCTCTACCCTCCTTTAGGTTTCAGCTCAAATGTCATTTCCTTATAGAAGCCTTTCCTGACTATCCTACTAAGTCAGTCCCTGTTATAAGCTCTCATGGTGGCATTTGCTGTTCCTCTGGAGCACTTATCATAGTCTAATGAGATATTTAACTGTTGTGATTATTATTGGTTACCTCCACTAGAGGGCATGGGCTTTGGGGATATCCTATACTATGGATCCACAATGGCTATAGCAACCTGCCTATTCCTCAAAAAGAATATGTTCAATGAAGGCAGGAAGGCTGAAAGCGTAACGGGAAGAAAGGTAGGTGAATAAGAAAGCAGTAAGGGAGAGTGGCTGCCAGCTTAGCCTCTCCTCACTGTGCCTTTTGGCTCCGTGACTTCCTCTCCCCGGTCAGGTCTACCTGAACGATGTCCCGCTCTGCATAGCGTCCCCTAGAGGACACGCGCACGTCATCACCATCCAGCTCTTCCATTGCTACAGAAAAGACACCTCTCAGCTGATTGCCCTTTCCCACACCAACCCATACTACCCCCTTCCCTGTTAGCTCACTTTGGAGTCATCATGAGAATATTTAATGGTTGTATTAAAGTCCTAACAAATATTAGGCATTGTTATGGAATTGTTATGCCTTCCCATGCATTCTATCCTCCCAGGAACCCCAGGAGGGAAATATTCGTATCAACAGCCTCATTATAATAAGGAAATATGTACAGAGAAGGTCTGTCACTTGGTCAAGGTCTAACACAAGCATCCATCTTATCTTTTTTGTAAGGTGGGCCTGGGTGCCCAGATCCTCCCCTATTTTCCCCAGTTCTTGGTCTCACTCATGGACACCCTTCCGTCCTACTCACCTTCAAACATGGCTGGTCCCACACCAACAATAATGATAGACATGGGCAGTGAGGAGGCCTGTGAGGGAAGAGTTGAATGGTTGGGGTGAACAGTCATAATGATGGAGGTGACTTTTGGGGACAATTCTCTGTGCATGTATCATGTTTCTGCACATCTTGCAAGCAGAGGCAGTGATTTCCTTTGTTCAAGATTATCTTTTCAAGGATGTCTGCATATCAAATAGCCTTGAAAGATATAGTGTCTTCCTTTGGAGCAAAGGGCAGATTTGTGTACTATTCAGTTTATAATAAAGTATCTCACACTGGAACAAAGGGCAGATATGCTTACTGCCCATTATGAAAGATTCAGATACCCTAAACTCAGGGTTTCTATCCTAGAATGTCTCCCATTGTGGGTGCAGCTGTCATTTGGCCCTCTTAATATGATCTTGTGGGAATTGGGACCTAGATTCAGAGTAAATGCTGATAATTGAGCTACTGCTATCGCTGCGAATAACAAAGTCCTTTGTCTCTGATCCAGGAGTCTTGTGTCTTCTGCCAGCATCCATGAAACTGGTAGACTAATTTGTTAGCTTGCAAGTAGGATAAAATCTCAACTCCTTCACAGTTATTAACAGTGACCCTCCCTGGCAAGCCCTCCTCCTTAAACTCACACTGACAATGGCCTCCTTGGTCTGCGTCATGTCAGAGATGACCCCGTCAGTGATGATGAGCAGAACGTAGTACTGGGAACCATCAGAGATCTTGGCTGCAGCCCTGGTTGAGAGTCCAAGATCAGAATCCAGCTGAAAGTCCAAAGAGGCCAAGAGAACTCCCTACCCCTAAAATTTCCACAGCCGGTGTGTAAGCAGTGGGTAAGGACTGGGGTTTCTAAAGCCCATGCTCCTTCTCAAGACCTGGATGCCTGCCTGACATCCCTCTAGTAACATTTATGGAGAACTTATTATGGTAGGTACTGTGTTATGATAGGCACCAGAGGTACACAATGAGAAAAAACAAATTCATCCCAGCCCTCTCAAGGGAGGGCATTAATCCCAGAGTCACAGAAATAGGTATAAAATTACACTTGTGATAAGTACTGTGATGGAAAGGGACATTGCTATGACAGTATCTAGTAGGGGATCCTGACATGGTCCAGGAGGTCAGTGAAAGCTTCTTTAAGGAAACAATGTTTGAGGGTGAAGGAGAGGTTAAGTGAAGGAGGGGGATCATTCCAGGCAGAGGGAACAGCATAGACAAGGGCCCTGTGATGGGACTGAAGGAAGCCCACCCTGTCTGGAGCCCAGAAAGTGAGGGAAGCAGAGTGGACCTTGTGGCTGAGATGGGGCAGGGGCCAGACTACACAGGGCTTTGACAGCTCATAGAAAGATTTTAGGGCAAGACCAAAGGCTGAAGGCTGCCTTTCTTCCCTTTCTCACTCATTTCCTCTTTCTTCCTTCTCCCCTCTGCTGGCCACCTCCCATTGCCTATGCTTCTGGGTCCTTAGCCAGTCTAAAAACTGCTCCAAGCTTCTTTTCCTTCTCTCACCATCAACCTTTGAATCCAAGATTTTTCTATGTGAAAAGGACTTCAGAAGTCATTTAGTCCAGTCCACTTATTTTACATATAAGAAGAATGAGACCTTTGGAGAGCACAAAGGTTCTGTGTGGGTTGGAAAGGACCGAATTACACTATCCAATAAGGTAGCCCCTAGCCACATGTGGCCATTGAAATTTAATTAAGTTAAAAAGAATTAGATTTTAGGTTCCTTTTTTACCCAAGCTACATCTCAAATGCTCAATAAAAGAACCCAACTAAACCTAAAGCCCTGAGCTCTTGATTCCTTCACTCTCCATTCCAGGCCTGTTTTTTGGATGCTCCTCCATATACACTGTATATTCTGGTCATAAATACACTGTTCATTGTTTCCTGATCTTGCCCCTTTATGACTCTGGGCTTTTCACATGTGGTTCCTCCTGCCAGGCCTACTCTGTATTCTCTTATAAAAACTCCAACTTGCCAAGCTGAGCAGTCCTCTCCAAAAGTAGATCTCTCAGACTAGGTTATACCCTCCTCTCCCTCTGCCTTCTAGGATACTGTCAACCAAGATGGGCTGTCAGCCCTTCCACATGGGTTTTCACACCCATGAGGGTACCAGCATGTGTAGGGAGAACCCAAGGCTACAGGATACCTAGAACATCCATTCTACTGTATGATCTGGTGCATAAAGCTAGATGACTGTAAGTACACTTATAACACCTTTTTTTGGAGGTGCCTGGGTGGTTCAGTTGGTTAAGTGTCTGACTCTTGATTCCAGCTCAGGTCATGATCTCATAGTTTGTGAGATGGAGCCCTGCATCAGGCTCCGTGCTGACAGTGCTCAGAGCCTGCTTGGGATTCTCTCTCCCTCTCTCTCCAGCCCCTCGTAGGGATGCCCTACTCGTAGGCATGCTTTCCCTCTTGCTCTCTCAAAATAAATAAATAAACACTAAAAAACCCCACCTCCCCCCATCCAAATTAAAGCAAACATGGACACAACAAGAAGAGAATGTAAAATTTGCATGAATTCAGATAAACATGTTGTCTTCAAAGACATTTTCAGCCAGGTTGCTTTCAGCTGTGCCCCTAAGATTCCCCTGGGGGAAGCAATTGCTTGCCTTTGTCAACAGGCAACTTGCTGGAAAAGTCTGGGAAGCTCTGGCCTACGGAAAGTAATGATTTATTTATATTTCTGTCTCCTGCACCAGGGTGGGAGCTCCTAAGGGCAGAGACTAGATCTGATTCATCTGTGAGTCTCCAGTGCACCAGCAGAGAACTGAGAATACAGCAAATGCCCTTTTAATAGTAATAATGACAATAATAGTAACAGTAATAGCTTACACTTATAGCAGTTATGTGGCAGGCACTAAGCACTTGACGTATATTAGTTTAGTTAGCCCTCACAACAGTCCTATGATATTTCAATTTTTTAAGTGTTTTATTTTAGAGAGAGAGAGAGAGAGAGCATGAGTGGGAGAGAGGGGCAGAGGGAGAGAGAGAATCTTAAGCAGGCTCCATGCAGAGCCTGACACAGGGCTCTGTCCCACAACCCTGGGATCATGAACTGAACCAAAATCAAGAGTTGGATGCTCAACTGACTGAGCCACTCAGGTGCCCCCCTACCATGATATTACTATTATTATTCTCATTTTACAGTGGAGCAAATAGGCATAGAGAGGTTCAGGGTCTTGCTCAAAGTCATACAGCTAGTGAGTGGTAGAGCAGGTGTACCGAATTAGCTAGTTTGGCTTCACAGCCCACATTCATGCTACATTGACTCTTTATTGAATGTTTATTGAATGAATGAATGAATGAATGAATGAATGAATAAATTAGTGAACTAAGATAATATTAAAAAATCTGTTTAATAACAACAAAAATATGCTGAGGCTCCAATATTAAGTGAAAAAAATCAGTAGTGAAATATTACATGTAATTTTTTAAAGTTTATTTATTTTTTTAGTAATCTCTACACCCAGCCTGAGACTCAAACTCATGGCCCTGAACAAGAGTTGCATGCTCTTCTGACTGAGCCAGTCAGGTTCCCCAACATATAATTTGACTGCATTTATGGATTCATAAGGAAAATCCTGTCAAGAACTACATATACATCCACATTCCCATGGGAAGTATTTTGGATGATTTATTTCATTTCTCCATCCTTGAAATTTTCTACAGCAATGTTACGTTGCTTTCATAATTAAAAGAAACTATTATCCTCACTATGAATCACATAAACAATCTTTATTAGGGAAAAGGGAAGTGTATAGACATAAATATCCCTGAAATCCTTCCATTTGTTTTTTTTTTTTTTTTTTTTTTTTTTTTTTTTGGTTAATCTTTTCACTTTCTTTTTTTTTTTTTTTTAACGTTTATTTATTTTTGAGACAGAGAGAGACACAGCATGAACGGGGGAGGGTCAGACAGAGAGGGAGACACAGAATCGGAAGCAGGCTCCAGGCTCTGAGCCATCAGCCCAGAGCCCGACGCGGGGCTCGAACTCGCGGACCGTGAGATCGTGACCTGAGCTGAAGTCGGACGCTTAACCGACTGAGCCGCCCAGGCGCCCCAATCTTTTCACTTTCAAGCTTTCTGAGGTACTTTGTTTTAGCTGGATCTCCTCTATTCAGCATATCATAGAGTTTACTTATTATTTTTTAGCCATTCAGAGAGTCTTTTTCTTTTAAGAGGTGAACTTACCCAATTTTTAAAAAAATGTTTGAGAGAGAGAGTGTGTGCGAGTGGAGGGAGCGGGAGAGAGAGAAGAGAGAGAGACAGAATTCCAAGCAGGCTCCATGCTGTCACCACAGAGCCCAAAGCGGGGCTCAGTCTCACAAACCATGAAATCATGACGTGAGCCGAAACCAAGAGTCAGACGCTTAACTGTCCGAGCCACCCAGGTGGCCCCCCAATTTATGTTTAATGGTATATGTTTGGTTTTAGTTCTGTCATTTTATTTTATTTACATTTTAAAAAGTGATTTGTGATCTCAGGGTTTTGTTTTTATTCTGAAAATTTGGAGTTACTCTTTTATTTTTAGAAGTTACTTTCCCATTTTTTAATCTACCATTTATTGAGCACTTACTATGGGCCAGACACTGTGCTAATAATTCTTACTTTGTTATCTAATTTTAACCTCCCAATATTCCTATCAAGAAGGTGCTATTGTTAGCCATTATTGTGGCCATTTACAGGGAGAAAATGGGGACTTAGGCTAAGCTGCTTAAGGTCACATGGTTAGTGAGTGGTGGAGCCAGGATCACTCCCAGGTCTGATGCCAAAGCTTGTGTCTTAACCATTGTGCTATAGGACCATCTCTCTTTTCCCCAAACTTGAGGGCTGAGTTGTTCCCAGAGAATGGAGTTGGGGTAATTTGTTGACACTGTCTGTGCATCCTCTTTACCGCAGAATAAGGCATTTACCTCTTTATTTTATATATTTTTAAATGTTAATTTATTTATTTTGAGAGAGAGAGAGTGCGCGCGTACACGTGTGTGGGAGGAGCAGAGAGAAAGGAAGAGAGAGAGAATCCCAAGCAGGCTCTGGGATGTTAGTGCAGAGCCCAATGGGGGGCTCAATCTCATGAACCCATGAGATCACGACCTGAGCCAAAATCGATAGTTGGATGCTTAACTGACTGAGCCACCCGGGAGCCCTAGCATTTACCTCTTTATACTAGAGCCTGGCCAACACTGAAACTTGTATCCTTTCCCCAAAGCCCAGGTTAAGCCAAGAGTGGTCTTGACTATCCTTGGGAAGTCAGTCCCCTATTTGGGTCCCCTCATTCCCCCCAAACCCACCCAATTCCCTTACCTGGCTACCTGGTTGATGACAGGAGCAAAGTAGGTGGGCCCATAGAGCTGGACTGTGCGCAGGCTCTGGAAGTAGCTCTCCAGCACGCCCTCGATGCCTGCACAGTTGGGGTCCTCATCATTGTTGTTCTGTCAGGGAAGATGCCTTGCTGGGCTGACCCATGCAGGGTATACCCAGGAGTACTCTGATCCCAGCTCACTCCTTTTTCCTATTACTCTCATGCTCCCCTCCAAACTCCAACCCTGCTCCCCTCCCTTCTCTGCCACCCTCTCATGGTTTCCTGGTCCTCTGCAGGTACTTGACCCTTAGAAGAAATATGAAGAGAAGAAAATCACCAACGTGAGTGGGCCAGAGGCCAGAGCATGGAGTTTAGGCTCTGGTCTATACTATACCAGGGGGAACTGGTGGGAGATCCGTCCTTCTGGAGGCAGCTTGGCTCCAAAGCCATAGGCTGGGAAGAGCTTGTCACTGTCATAGTCCTGGATGATTTCTCCCACTGCCTTGAGGGCCATGGCGTAGGCGCTGAGTTGGTAGGGACTCATGTAGTGCAGGGAGGTGGGCTGCAGAGGGTTCCCTGTAGGGACAAAGGACCCCCAGCCTCATGGTCACCTTGATCACTTATGTATTCACCTGTCTGTGTATATATCCAACCACCTATCCATTCACCCACCCCTTGTACTCCCTCGTTATTATGCCCAAATCATCCATATGTTCATTTATCCATCTGTCCACCTACCAGCCCCTCTATCTATCCATCACTTTATCCACTTATCCACACATCCATTCTCCGATCCACCAGATATAAATCCATCTTTCAATCTACCAATCCATCTCTTCTATCTGCCTTTCCATTCTCTTATTCAATATATACCCAAATATCACCCATCCATTCATTCCTATTCATTCCATTCATTCTGTCTTCTTATGGATTCATCCACCTGTGCACTCATTCATTGCCCTATCTACTTACCTGTTATTTCTCCAATGTAAACATCTGTCCATTTGTCCACCCGTGTACCCATTCATGCATCCACTTGTCCAACCTATTGTACTCACTCCATAACCCATCTACCTACTTGGTTTGTTCATCTGTTTGCCCACCCAGTCATTACTCAGCCATTTATCTCTTCATTTCTCCTTACACCCCTATTATCTCCCATCCATTAATGTACTCATCCACTTTTGAGGTATCTCTTCTTTCAACTTTTTTGATTTATTTACCCACTTATTTTCCTGTACCCTCTGCCCTCCCTGCCATTACACTGAATAATCTCCCCCCAAAACTCCTGTCCCAACCTGGTTGGGCTTTGCCTCAACCCTGGGCTTCCTGGGTAGGTGAACTTTTATCTCCAGGTGAGAATCCAGGCCAATCCCTAATGACTTCCTTAGAATTCCTCCACACCCCATTCTCCCATCCATGCCTCACCATTAGAAGCTGTGAAGTCAATGGCAACTGTGAAGTTCAGCTGTGTCCTGTCGGGGAAGTAGATGGATTGAGAAGTGAGGGATTAATACTTATTATACCAGGATTTCTCAAACACTAGTGTGCATATGAATCACCTGAGGATAGTGCTAAAATGCAGATTCTGATCTGGATGGTGGAGCCTGAAATTCTACATTTCTAACAAACTCCCAGGTGATGCAGATGCTGCTGGCCCATGGAGCACATTCTGGGTAGTAGAATTAAATGTCTACTGTGTGATAAGTTTATGTAATTTATGTAATTTAACTTAACCCTTACTATAGCCTTGAAGTAGTAATTAATATCTCCATTTTGCATAGGAGAAAAGTGAGGTTCAGAGAAGCAAAGCACTTTCCCAGGTCTGCCTACCACTACTGAACCAAGTGGAATGTCCTTTTTGGTCTGTTTGGGTTTTCCCTCTCTCTTGGCCTCTCCTTCTTGCCTGGCTATGATTTTTATCTGGATCCCAGTCAGGTTACTGGGGTCATCTTTGAAGACCACTGGTCTGGCATCTTCTCAGGGGGTACTGGAAGCTGGCATGAAAGGCAGCTCCATGAAGAGAACTAAGATGGGCAACACTATGCATTTTACAGAGCACTTTATAGTTTGCCAAGTGTTTAAAAGTTTATTTCCATGGACCCTAAACGTTCATATATTAAAAAACTGAGGCTTAGAATTGGGAGTAACTCAATGCTGAACAGAACTTGGCCTGTGACTCACCCTCCCTTGATGTAATCAACAAAAGTGAATTCAGAGTCCACAGAGAAGGAGAGCAGCGTCACCTGTGGGACAGAGAGGCAGCCCTGCCACTTTGGAGTGGACAGTTGGGTAGCAGAAGGCAGAGAGGCACATGATTCCACCTCCTGCCCCACACCCCCAACCCTGTCCAATTTCTAAAATGGCAAAAAAGAGGAAGCTGTCAGAAATAGATTTGGATTTACAAAAGTGTATTAAATTGGGAAATACAACTTAAGTTTAAAAAAAAATTCTGCAACAGTAAAGTTCAAACAATTTTTCTCAAGTGAGAAAACAAAAGATAAGCTTAAATGGTGCTATCTTGTGCCCAACATTACTATATTCAAGTAATCTGTGCCCAATGCCTTCCTGTACCCCCAACATTTGTCTGTGGAAATGGAAGCAGAAGGATCTAGGGAGGGCTAGAGCTTTAGGGAGCACTCACAGTTCCTGAGTTGACATATTTCTTCTTCTTACATTTCTTCCGAGGGTTAAGTACCTGAGTGAAAAAGATAACAGTGATGGCGGGAAATAGAGAAAGAGAGCTGTAGACTGAGAACACTGGGATGGAGGGACTGGGAAACCTGGACAAGGCTGGAGTTCTCACCTCATACACTGTGAACTGGTTCTGGGCCTTGCTCAGCTCCCGGTAGCTGGTGGTGAACTCACCAATGAAGTCATGGCTGCAGGGAGGCCAGGGGTGGGTGAGCAACGGCTACCGGCTACCGTTGGCTTGGAGCCAGCCCTGAAAGTAGTCTTTTGTTCCCACTATCCCCTCTCTCTACTTGAGCTGCAGGGCACTGGGGTTGGGGCCATAAGAGAGACCAAGTTAAGGGGAAAGAGGGAAGAGGTGTACTCAAGGTCTTGGCATCTATTATTACCACTCACGACTCACAAGGCCACTTTGGGTTCCTGGTGAATGTACTACGTATTATAGGAAGGTCTTTGAATTAACTACAGGAGAAGACAGTACTATGTGGGGCAGTTCTACCTTCCATCCCGGTCCCAGTCATACACATCAATCTTCACTGTTCTGAAATGCAGGAGATAAATATAGGTTAGGTATGTACAATAAATCCTAGAATGCACCCCCACTTACTTAACCATAAACAAATCATCCTCCAATATGCCCATCTGTTTTTCCTTCAGCTATCCTCCCATTAGTCCATCCATCCTATTTATTCATTCATCAGCCCATGCACATACCCAGCTATCTACTGCCACTGCCACTGTTTCTTTTACTGCTATTTGTACTGCTATTTCTATTTTTTAATGTTGATTAGTTTTGAGAGAGAGAGAGAGAGAGAGAGAGAGAGAGAGAGAGAGAGAGAAAGAGAGCACTAGTGGGAGAGGGGCAGAGAGAGAGGGAGACAGAGGATCCAAAAAGCTGGCTTTGTGATGACAGCAGAGAGCCCGACGTGGGGCCTGCACTCATGAGCTATGAGATCATGACCTGAGCCGAGGTTGGATGTTTAACTGACTGAGCCACCCAGGCACCCTTGGTGTTACTCTTCTTTACTATTTGTTGAGTGTTACTATATTCTAGGCATTGTTATTAGTACTTTCATTGATTGTCTCATTTAATTTAACAACCATCCTATAAAGTACTATTATTCTTATTTTTAGATAAGAGGTACAAAAGACAAAAACTTGACTAAGGACCATAACTAGTAAGTGATTAAGCTGAAACTTAAAACTCAAACATCTTAAAAACAAAAACAAAAACAAAAAAACAAAAAACAAAAAAACACACAAAAAAAACCCTCAAACATCTTGGTTCCAAACACTTTGTTCCTAACTACTATGCCTGAGTCCTCCTGTAGGTCCATATATCTGTTACAGTCCAGACAACCATCTATCTATCCATCTAGACATCCACTTACCCATTCATTTGCCAATCTAATTACCTATTAACACCTATCTTTATCTACCCATATAACTATACATCCAGGCTTTCACTGACTTACTGATGTATGCAAGCATCCGTCTGTCCATTCATATATCTAACTAAACACCCAACCATCTGATGTCTGTCCATCTGATCATCCATTCATCTATATAGCCATACATTTATGTACCCATCCATCCTTCCACCCACCCACTTACTTGTCTTCATACTGTCCATTTATTAGCTCGTATGGCCAGCCTATCCACCTACTTATTAATCAGACAGTTTATCCAATGATCCTTCCATCTATCTACCATCCATTCATCAATCCACCTTTCACTGTTTGTTCTCCTGCTTTTTCAGTCATCCCTCTGCCTCTCTAGTCATGTAACAATCTCTCATATCCCATCCATCTACTCATTCATCCTTAATCCATCCATCATCTATTCATCCACTGATCTGCCCATCATTCCACTTATCCATTTATCTGTTATCCACTCATTCATCTCCCACTATACTGACACTCCAAGCCTCTTACACACCCATCCATATACCCATCCATCCATTCACCAGCTTACCCATCCATCCAACCATCCATCCATGTATCTGGTTTTTCATTTGTTCATTTGTCCTTTCATCTACCCATCCACCCATCCATCCTCCTGTCCATCTATGTGGCCATCCATTTGCTTCCCCATTTACCTATCTCCATGCCCCAAACTCTGTCTTGCCAAACAGGATCCTCCAAAACCATTGTTACTTCTGCCATCATTCTGGGGCCAGGAACCCCATTCTCATACCCTTGTTCCCTTAATCCTTAGCTTACGCTGAAGCAGACCTGTCATAGTCTCCATTGCACAGTGCCCGCACAGGGATGCTGAAGGGTTGCCACACAGGATTCAGTGTGTTTTTCACAACCTCCGTCTTGTGGCAGATGGTGAACCTGGAGAGGAGCAAGAGGACTGGAGCCTGCATTGGGGGTAGGACTGAGCCCAGAGATAGGTCCTCATACTCTTGGAGATTCCTGGGATTTCCCCACTTGTTAAACACATTTTGTCCTCTGCCTTGAGTGAATTCTGGGCTCAGGACCCAGTGGAGTCTAAGATGCCCCACATCTAGCCTAAGAGCCATAATGGGCCCATGGCCACAGCTGGGGAGGGGTAGGTGCCACTGGAGAAAGCATTGACTCACGTGCCATCCTCATTGCTCCTATAGAACACAAGGAAGGGATCTGATTTCCCAAAGAAATCCTTCTTGTCCAGCTTGTTTGCACACAGCTGCATGGTGGCAATGTCCTAGGGATGAAGTTTGGCTTGTTGACATCCAAATTGTTCATAGCTTCAAACAGTCCACTAAAGGGGGTTTGGGAGAGAAGGGAGCCTTGTGGGTCTAGCATATGGCCCTTACTGACCCGACAATTGCTAAGCTCCTCTGCAGTCAGCAATATGGTCCCACACTTCTTGCCTGGTACACCCCTGGAAGCAGAAAAGTCCTCTTTGTGAGGGGAGGGAGAGTAGGCAATGAAGATTGGGGAAACCAATCTGGGAGTGAGTGGGCCAGGGATTCAATATGCAATTTTCTGACAGTCCCCTAAATGTATCCCCTTATGTCCTGGGTTTTTCCTGGTGGGGAAGGCCCTGCCTTTGATTGGGAAGAGGGTCTAAGGTCTGTAAGGAAGGGGCTGCTGTGGCCTAGGTGGACATGTTATAATGGTAGCTTAGGAAAGACATAGGATTCAGAATCCTGAGTAGGTTATTTCCCCTTTTTTGGTCCTAGTTTCCTCCGCTATGAAATGGGAATAATTCCCACCTCTCAGGGCTATGAAAAGATCTGAATGAGTACATGGAAGGACAAGCAATTGGGAGGCTTTATTGATATTGAAGGTGGTGATACTTCTCAAAGCAGACTTTGGTATCTACCATATGCCAGGCACTGTGCTAGGTATGAATTGGCCGGATGGTACTCTCCAGTTCTGGTAGACTCTGCCCTCAGAGAGCTGCCAGTGGAATGTCAAAGCTGACAGGCAAGTAGAGTGTGATGTAGCAGTCCTGAATGAGGGAGAGGAATTTCTATCCAGACCTGGGCAAAGGGCTGTTCTGTTAGATCAAAGATGGTGTGATTTCTGAAGAGTGAAATAAATGTGAAGAGTGAAATAAAAAAGACAAAGGCAGCCTTATCCTCTCCTGACCCAAGAAGGGATCCTTCCATGCGTCCTGGGCACATACCAGGACACACCCATCCCCATTTGCCTTGGGTATCCAAGTGATCAGGGGCCTTGCTGATATGGGCCTGTGAACCCTAATTCCCCAAACGGATCCAAAGTATGCAGAGAGAAATCTAGATCAGGAGTGTCCTGGGTGTAAGTCCTGACTCCAACTTGCTATGTGATTTTCATCGTTTTTAACATGAATGTTGAACCATTTGTTTGGCTCTTTCGATCTTTGACTCTTTGTGATTTAAAAAGACAGAGTGTGAGGAATACAGGGACTCTTCACCTACACATCCAGGACCAAGTCTCTGATCCTCAGCTTTCTCTCTGTTCTTTGCCTCCTTAATGTTTTCCCTCATCCCCTTGACCCAGTGTGAATTCCAGTCAGTGATTATAATAATCACTCCCCTGCATTCTACCCCTTATCCATTGCTCTTCTGTCACTTCAATATACTTATTTGGCAGAACCACAGCCCTAGTTAAATACAATTCTCTGCCTAAGCCATGCTGCACCCGTGCAACTAAATGTGGTCAGAGGAAAACACAAATCTTGCTAACTGATCTCATTTCTTCTTTTACATTTTATTTATTTATTTATTTTAAGTAATCTCTCCACCCAACATGGGGTTTGAACTCATGACCCTGAGATCAAGGGTCACGTGGTCTACTGAGCCAGCCAGGTGTCCCTAACTGGTCTCATTTTAAAGCATGACCACAAACCTCAAGAGGGTCCTAAATCATACTTCACTCGCCAGTTCTGCTAGATGGCAGTTTCACTCCTCTTCTCTCCTCAAACCTGGAAAGCCTCCTCCTCCCCCATCCTCACTCAGCCCATGACCTTGTTTCCTACTTCACTGACAAGACTGAAGCAACCAGATGAGAATGTCCACGGACCTCCCACCACACCTACCTTGCCTCCAGTATCTTCACCCACGCAACTGTTGCTATAAATGACTATCCATGTGCCTATTTATCCCTCCACTGTGTGCTACATTCCACACACTCTTGCCGGTGCATGGACAGCATTCCAGTAATTCTCTCCTTTTTAAGTTATGTCTATTTTTCAGTTTCTATTGGATCCTTCCCATCAACATACAAATGTAGTATAATTTTTCTCATGTTAAAAAATGCAAACCTATTCTGACCTCACTTCCTTTGCTAACCACTCCTCCTTTTCTCTTCTCCTCTTTGCAGCAAAACCTCTTAAAAGATTCCTTGACTCTCATTCCTGTCTTCCATTCTCTTTTAAACCTCTACAACCAGGCTGTCACCCCCACCTCTTCCTTCAGAACTTCTGATCTGGAGCAGCATTTAACATGGCTTGTCACTCTCTCCTCAATACACACCTTCACGTTGCCTCCAGGATAATACCCCCTTCTCTTGGTCCTCCTCTTACTTCCTTAATGCTCCTTCTTAGTCTCCTTTTTTAACCATCTCATTTATGGCAACTCCATCCTTCTAGGTGTTCAGGCCAAAGGCCTTGGTGTCATCCTTGACTCCCCTTTTCCTCTCACATCCACATTCAATCTGTCAGGAATCATGATGGCTCCCCTTTCAAGTTGTATCCAGAATCTGACCACTTCCCTCCTTCACTGCTACCTTCCTGGATTACTGTAATAGTCTTCCAATAGGAGCCCTGCTACTACCTTTGTCCACCCAAGGTTTATTCTCAACCCAGCACCAGCTTCATTCTTTGAAAACATGGTCAGATCATGTCGCTTCTCTCCTCAGAGCCCTCCAGTAACTCCCAACTCAGAATAAAAGCTAGTCTTTACAGTGGCTACAAGGCCCTAAACTGTTAACTCTCCAATCTCACCTCCTCTTCCTCCTTGCTCACTTGGCTACCGCCACACTGGCCTCCTTACTGCTCTCTGAACATATCAGGCTTTTGCACTGGCGACTTCCTCTGCTTTCCACCTCCAGATATCTGCATGGCTCACTTCCTTACTTCCTCCTGGTCATTGCTCTGAAGTTACCCCTCCATAAAGCCTACTCAAGCGCTCTGTTGAATATTGCAAGTCCCACCCACCCAGCATTTCCGATCCTCCTAATTCTGCTCTACTTTGCCTTTTTTCCATAGCACTTAAGGTCTTCGAATATATAATTTACTTATTTATTATGTCTATTTTATACAGTTTCTCCCCCTCTTCTATAATATAAGCTTCTTGAGGGTAGGAACCTTTGTTTTGTTCACTATTACAACCCAAGCCCCTTGAACAGTGGCTGACATAGAGTATATGCCCAGTAGTATTTATGGAATGGATAAGTTCCTGGTGCCTAGCACAGGGTGTGGCATACAAAACATGCTAATAAGTACTTAGTAAGTGAATGTAATGGAAATTCCAGGGGACTTGATTTAGTGAGGGGAAGCTTCCTGGAGGAAAAGAGCTTGGAAGTGCACCTGAAAGGTAGAATCAGACTTAGAAAAAGTGAGGAGAGAGGGACAGAGTGAGGAGAGAGAGAGAGAGAGAGAGAGAGAGAGGTTGAGAACAAGACAAGACATGTCTTGCCTGAGACTGACTTGAACAAAGCCCTGGGTGGAGATTGGTCTTTCCTGGGTGGGGGTGGGATGGGGGAGTGGGGGAGGAGGTGATGGGGAACCACTGAAAGCTCCCAACCAGGGAGAATTCCAGCCTCCACTGCTATTGGGTCAGCAGCATCTTTGGGAGGAAAATTTGGAGGCACCCACCCTTCCCCAGCACCCCTTCTGGTTCAGCTCACGTGAGGGGTCGCTCTACACGGCTGCCCTGGCCTCCGATCACCTCTCCCAGAGCCAGGAACGCTTGTCCAAGGAAATCCTGCACCAGGACATGGAGTCAAGAAGGCCGGGAGGGGCCAGGGTTGCAGAGTCCCAGCCCAGCCCTGGTGATACTGCTGCTTGGACGAGGGTGTTCCAAGGTGGCAGAATGCTAGAAGTACTGTCCTGTCTGTGCTTTAAAGGAGGAGTCCCCAGGCCAGCTTTGCTGCTTGGTCCTGCTGCCAGTTTAAACTGCTCTCCACAATGCCATCCCACACTTCACCTTCCATTCCACACCCCCGCCCCATCCCACAGCCAGCCCCGTTCAGCCTCACCTTCTGTATGTCCGAGAGGTGGCGGAGAACGAAGAGGATCAGTGAGTAAAAGGCACAGGCGGGACACCATGAGGCAGGAGCAGGAAAGGAGGGCCAGGAGGGTGGGTTTGGGGCCAAGAGGGTAGAGTTGGGGTTGAGGGATAGGAGAATTCTAAGGAGGGTCATTTAACACACTGAGTGCCTCCTGTGTGCCTGGCCAGGCCACCAGGGGATGCTCTGCTTGCTCACCGTTTTGGAGATGTTGGTTTTGGAGTCAACATTGTACCTGGGAAGAGAGTGCAACCAGCATAAGGCGGGGCTGGTGGGAGAGAGCTGGGAAAAGGGGTCAGGTTTTGAATACTGGTTAAAATTTTGGGTGGAAGGAGGGAGTGACCTTGCATCCGAATTCAATCTGGATCTCCTTTAGGGCATCACGGTCACAGAATCAGGCCTGGGGCAAGGCCAAGACTGGGACCTGGTGGGGGTGGAGTCATATCACCGGCCGGAGGGGCCTAGATGGAGCCTGAGCTAAATTAGGGAGCAAAGCTTTGGGCCCAACCGGGTCTGGGGAATGGATTTGACCTAAGGGCAGAACCAAGCTAGACCTGGGGACTGAGCTAAAACTAAGGTAGAGGCCTTCAGAGTGGGATCCAATGGCCTGGTGGAGGAACCAGGCCGGGAGTCTGGCCGGGGAGGGGTCTGCCAGAATTTCTCCTGGATCCAGGTTGGGGAGCGGTCCAACCCCGGATTCTGGGCAGGGCTTACACATCAAAGCGCAGATTTTGTTTTTCCTCAAAGAAGTAGTCGAGGACAAATTTGCGCACGAAGTCTGGGTTTAACGTGTTGTCAATCACCTCTGTCCGTCCGAACTGGATAGGGGGTGGAGGGAGAGTCAGCATGGCTCCTGCAAGGGGGCAGGTGATTCCCCGGGGGCTGCTCTTGGCTGGGAGAGGGCTCTAGGACTCACCTCTCGCCATTCCTGGCTCGCCCGGCTCTGCGTGTAAAGCACCACCACTGCAGGCAAGGGTGGAGGTGGGGAGGGATGTCAGATTGGCTTGAACCCCTCCCCGCCCCTCAGTCGCGCCCAGACCCCAGTTCCCCCTCCCGTCCCTGGCGCCTCCTACTGGGATCGGACTTGGAGAAGGTGTCGAGGTCCAGCAGATTCCTAGAGAAAGAGACAGACGGAAAGAGGGTGGGTCATATTGGAGCCCAGTGCCTGGACTCTGCCCCGGTTGGACTCTGCCCTCAGTTCGGAACCCCGGGGAGGCATGGGGCTCAAATCGCATCTCCCTCCCTCATTACTGGTGGGTGGGGACGTGAGGGGGAAGGGAGGCCCCCCTTGTCAGCACCCTGGACAGCACCGGAAATATCGCCTCAAGACCCGTGGTGTATGCATCCACACTGTCTTAAAGGGCCCAGGAAAGAGGGTCAGACCCAGAACTTTGTCCTCCTGAGGCCCAGATCCTACTGGATCCCCGTGACCCGTCCCTTGAACCCGGAGGCTGAACCCTCTTTTGCGGGTGGAGCTGTCTAAAGAAACCCCCTCCCCGAACCTGCCAGCGACTCCCCTAAGTCTGAATCAGATTTTCCGGCCCTGAAATCTTCTTTCCCCCGGGGTCTAGCTCTTGGCGCCGAGCCCCACAGCCGATTGGGGCAGGGATAGTGCCTACGCCCTCCCCAGCGTGGCCGCTCACCGGCAGGACACGGTAATTTCAATCTTGGTGGCCGGGACGCTGCGCTCAGAGGCTCCGCTGAGAGACATGGCTGGTCGAGTGGCTGGAACCGCGGGAAGCTGTAAGACAGGGGCCGCCGGGGCTAGGTGCGGCGGCAGCGGCGGGGCCGGCCCCTGTGCCGCCGCGGCGGCGGCGCGGCTGCACTCTTTCCAGCCCTGCTTGCACTCCCGCCTGTCGCGCCTTGACTGTGGCCGCCGGCGGCAGTGACTCCAGATGGCTACATAGCCCCGCCCGGCCTTGCGGGTGGCCCCCGCCCCATTGGAGCAGCCTCGAGCCTGCCGGGAACCTAACCCCGACCCCAAGTCCAGCTCATACCTTGGGAGTCCCTCCCAGCGCATTTCTCCCTGGCGAAACCCAAAAACCCTTTGAGAGCTGTCCGCGGTGCTGAATGGTTTGGGGCACCTGGTGGGCGTTGGGGACGTTTCCTCTTCCTGAACTGCTCCCTGAACAATCTGCTTCTCCCCCTTCCCACTTCCGCCCTGCTTTGGTCTCCGGATAGGAGGACGGTACATTTGTTCTTACTAGCTGTGTGACCTTGGGCAAGTTACTCAACGTCTCTGTGGCCCAGTCTCATTACAATAGTACCTACTTGGTGTGATGTAAAATTTTGAGATAATCCTTAGCTCAGGGGACTGTACACAGTAAGTATTCAAAATATGTTCACTGCTATTATTTCCCTCCTCTGGGCAGTCACACTGATGACCTCTTTTGTGTGAAGAGACAGAGCTCAGTAAATGGCTGTTAGAGCCCTATGAAAAGCCCTTTGCCCATGTCTTTGAACCCTGACTTCATGGTATTAGAGATGCAGACATACTGTGGGGATGCAATATACTCTATCTAGGTCACACTGCAGATGAGAGTGGTAGTCAGCCAGGTCCATTCTCCCCACATCAATTACTGTCTCCAAAGCCCCAGAAGCCAGTCCCTCCACCAGTCAGGGCTCCGTAAGGGGCTGCTAGTCACCTGTACCAGGACTGTGCTGCCTGCAGAACTTGTTAAAAATGAAAGATCCTCCACCCCTACCCATTCCTAGCTAATTGAAGGTCTCAGCAACCCTGTCTAAATTCCTCTAGTACTTGGGGAATCTGTGTGAATAGGCTTCCTACATGACTAGGGTCCATTGATGTCTGAGAATCACTGCTCCCACTTTAACCACCTGTGACTACATGTCCTCATCTCACTGAGATTTTCATGGGTCAGGAGTTAAGAGGCACAACCCTGTCTTCAGTTGTCTTTCTGCTTTACCTGCCCCCCACCCCAATCCCTTCCTGCACAAGGAAGAACAGTAAGAACCTTCCAAATAACCCTACAAAGACAGCAATCAAATGAGAATGCAAGAGAGCAGTTGTTCAAAAAGATTTTATTTTGTGATCTGTGTCAAACTGCCTCATTCTCAGTGCAGGTGATCCCCTCCTCTCCAGGAAACAAGAATGGGAAGAGGGAAGTCTTTCATGAGGTCTCAGCCTTCACAAGGCCCCAGGGAACTTCCCCACAGTTCTGAGAGTTGATGGGAATCCCAACAAAGACTAGGGTGGGTGAAAGGCAGTGACAAGAGGGGTGGTGATCACCAGTGAGGAAGCTGGGGGTTGGAGAACCCTGTCCTTGGCCCTGCTTGGCTTTGGGGCTGCCATGTGTATGATGGAGAAGGAGTGAGAAGATTTCCCCCTATCTTGAAGCACCCCTTGTCCGGGCATGGCTTTGATTCTGCTCAGGGCTCAGGTGAGAGGAGCAGGAAATTGTTGTGGGCTGGTTACTTCATAAGGTGCTGCTGCTGGTGCCCCGGAGTCCAACGCCACGGACAAACTGCTCCAGCAGGCCTCCGATGGCACCAGAGGGACTGGGGGCTGCTGCTCGAAGCCCCACTGTGCTGCTGTATGTGGCCAAGAAAGCTGAGCGTACTTCCTGCAGCCGAGTCTCCCGCTCATTGAGGGCTGCAAGCCTATGAGGACGGAGGGAAGGAGGGAGAATGAGTGCGTTACCCTGGGGCAGAGTCCAACATCCTCATGATTATACCACACCACCTATCCTTCTGCATGTGAAAGTTCAAGGCCAGCATCTGTCCTGTGGCCATACTACCTCTGGGGTTCAGGCCACAAATATTTGGCCTTGTTCCCCTCAGCTGTCAGGCTACTGTTCCTGCCTAGAAGCTGCATGTTTTATTGGTGCACTGGGGAGGAGGGGAAGGTAAGCAGGAGGGAGTTAGCCCCAACTATTGGCTCCCATTCCTCAGTAAGAGTAATGTGAGGCACACATCATAGACCTAAGGAGAGACCACAAGATGAGGCACCAGGCCTTGGCTGACCAACGGCCTCAGCTTTCTTGAGGCCAGGACCTGGAGCATCCTGGGAGAGAGCTCTTGGCAGTGTTCTGGAGAGGCCCTCAACTGAAAGCCCCTGAGGCTCTACCTACATCTTCAGTCACTGTGATCCCCAGGCAAACTGCTAGGAGGGTGCTGGCTTTTCTGGCAGGATTCCTGTTCTGCTTCCATCTGCTTTTCTTTCAGTGTCCTCTACAAACACTGATCATAGGTGGAAGACAGGAAGCCTCTCCTCTCTCCCTGCCCTGTAACTATAAGTCAAGAAGGGGAACAAGTTTAAAAAAAAAAAAAAAAAAGAAAGGGAACAAGTACATGAAAACTCAGGCCTATCAAAGAATGAAGCTACTTGACACTTTGAAAGGTCTCTAATAGAAGAGAGTACCAGCCACACCCAACCTATGGATTAAAAGGTATGCAGTCTAGGGGTGGGAGGGACATGGAATCAGAGGAAAGGTCAGGAACTCACGTGGTGTTCACTGTAACTGTCCCCTGGAGGGCTTTTTCCAGGGGTCAGACTTCTATGACATGAGCCCTTATGTTCCCATCCACCTAAAAATCACAACTAGCCCTGACCACTAACTTATACCAAAATTTCCCCTAAGAGACCAATCCCTGCATAATCCCTCCCAGGAATTTGTCAGAAGTAGCAGCAATGTCTCCAATTCTCAAGCCCAAATGACTTGCACCCTGGGGCCTGGGGGAAACAGATGGGAGGTATGAAGATAAATGACAGTCCTAGGGTAGGTATGGGGAGAAGAGACCTAGGGAAAGTACACTGGTGGGAGTGGTATATATGAGTGGGTGAGTGAGTGTGAGAGAGAGACAGAGAAAGGAGCAGCAGGTTCTAGGGTGAAGGAAAGTGAAGTAGCTCTTGCAGCAGCACTAAGAAAATGGAGCTGATACTGTATTCCTGCAATACAGTGAACAACTCCCAAGTTTCTCTTGGCACCTGGGGGAGATGTGTGGCCCTAGATCTCCTTTACTTTTTAATTAGGTGTCCTATAGGCTGGAGGCCATGTGTTCTTCAGCTTTTCTTTACAGCATATAACCGGGAGAGATTCAGATTAGTCTGTATTCACATGGAATATCCAAAGGTCTATATGTGTGCATTCTTACTGCCCCTTATTTCTAGGAGGCGGAAGGGGGAGAGATCAGCCTGTTTAGAGATAAGAAAACTGGAGCCCAGAGAGAACATGTGATCTACTTGAGGATACACAGCAGGCAATAGGTAGGCAGGCAGAGACACTCTAGTGCCAGTCCCTCTCAAGAGATGAACTAGCAGACTCAGAGAAGTCAGGGCTGACACCCAATGACATAGCTGGTAAGCAGAGCAGCTAGGAGTTGGACTAAATTCTCTGATAACAAAGCCCAAGCACTAAATCCACATACTGTGTGACTTCACCAGGAATCAACCCTGACCCCACCTCTACACTGCAATTCTGGAAGCCAAGAGATAACTCAGAACGTAGCCTTCCCCTGGGAACCACCCAGACCCTGAGGGTTGGCTAGGACATCAGAGAGCTACCCAAGGTATAAATTGTAGGATCTGGGGCTGGAACTCTCATCTGTTCCAAATCACTGTTTCAGTGGTTAATGCCAGTTAAGTGAGGGGTGCTAACAAGCAGGGGCAGAGATGTCTGCTTCTTCTAGGGAGGGCTCTTGGGCCAATTCCATCCTAGAATCCTAAGATCCAGTCTCTGCCCGCCTTCAGCAGGGATTGATCCTTCGTAACTGCCCAGGGCAACTCGCCTCCGGCAAGTCAGCACTAGTGGGTATGAGCAGGATTCTGGTGGTGATGATGAATCCCCAGCACCTGAAGTTCATTCAGCCCATCGTGGGGAGGGGCAGGCCCTGCTTCCCAGGCCACCAGGGGCTCTCCTCTGCCGGACCCATGAAGCAGTAGAGCAGGCAGGGGGCAGCCACTCAGGCAGATACACTATAAGAGTTGGAAGCCCAGTACTAGAGGCTTAAAGGAAGAGGATTTTACAGGCTTGGGATTTAGTATCCCAGTCCAATTCTCTTTCCTGACCAGAGGCAAAAACAGAAGACAAAAAGGGGGAAGGGAATGGCAAGAAACTCTTGATTCTGCTTGGAGGAGCACAGCCCTCGCGCTAACCTAACTCCATTCTGGCTCTGGTCTCCACCATACACCTACTCTCACTACCCCACTGTTCTGATTTCAAAGGATTCGCATGTCAGGCAAAGCCTTGGACAGAAATAGAACCTTCTATAGTTACAGTCCAGCCAGCTTTCCCTCAGGGTGTGCCCTGAGACACCCATGGATGAGTTTTGGAAGCTGGGGCATATGAACGCACTCTGTAGCACACTTCCTGCGCAGCCCATAAGGCCTCTTTCATACCTCAGGAGTCCAGGAGCAGTGAGGTGTACTTAGCTGAGCCACTGGGGAGGGGCAGGGATCCCAGGCCAGCTCCCTGGGGCCAGCTGCTGCCTCACTCCTAACCAACACTCTTGACTGCTCACCAGCTTCTGACATGGGCAGGGGAGCATCCTGCCTTCTCAAGCAAGACACTTACAGACAACTGTTAGGGAGCTCATCCGGGAAGCTGAAAGGGAGAGAGGAGTCTGTGTGCAGGACAGCCCGTTCCTGAATACTGCCACAGCCTGTTACCATCTGCCAGCTGCCAAAGTCTGTGGAGAGAGAGGATCCGGGCAGGGGATGGTCCACTGATCTGGGGCAGAGAGGAGAGAGAGGGGAGATGATGCACAGTCAGTCAATATACC